TTATTGTATTTATTTGTATATCACTTGTATATTGTGTAAATATGCAGCGTGAATGTGTATCAGGTGTTCTTGAATAATTTGGCAGTATGATCCTCTCAGGATGTTGTGGCACAGGTTCACTAGCACTTGGTAATAAGGGCTCTGCTCTGTGGTAGCATCGATGGCATATTAGATAGCCGAAATAGCTAAATTAAAGGCAAAACAATCGCAAATAAACACACACAACAGGTAATCCGAAACGAGAATGCACTTTCCGGTATATTATACTACTCTTTGGAATGCACGAATGCCACAGATTACTACGAATGCAAACTGCATGCACCACAACCACAAAGTCACAAGTTTTATGCCGACCCTTCACTTGACAACAGTTTGTCCTTGTCATGCTTAATAAGGAATGAAAAGGACAGACTGATGTCATGTTTTAAAATAGCAAATACGAATAGCCAAGTGAAGTGCCGGCATTAGGAAGAAAGAGTGTTTTCTTTGCAGCGCTGCCATAGATTATACACATAAAATGGTATTTATTGTCTCAGATTAATTTTTAACTTTTTAATTTAGCTTACCGCGTTGCGTCCGTCACAATCTAAATACTGATAATTATCGCAAAAAATATACTAAGAATTATCATAAATGCCAAATTGTTGTTGGTTCTTAGGCCAATTTTAACATTTTCCTTTAAGCATTATACCTAATTTGCTCGATTAAATCTGCAGTTTTTTTTTGTAATTTTCTGTAGATTTATAATTTTACTCCTTTGTCAATCACATAAACCTTAAAATTATTTTTCTAATATTCGCTACCTACATATTCAGTTCTACCCATTCAGTGATCATACAGCACAATTTTTTCAAAATCTTCACCGCCGGCAAGGTGAGCAGCTGGTGTGGCATGTAACACTGCTGTACCATCTATCTTCGCGTCTGTACTCCACAGTTACTTAACATTAGGTGAGGTAGCGTCATTTGTCAAAACTATTTATAAAAAAAATACATTACGTGAGAATACCGCATCCGGATTATCACCCATACAATAACAATAAGCCTTTGTAAAATTCAACGGAATATAACGCCTTGTTAAATTAGTTACAAGTGCACTTAATGTAGGTAATAATTTTTATGCTATGAATTACTCTGATGGACACTAAACGGCTGGCCGCTCACTTTTTTTGCAAAAAAATATTTGGCAACCACTTTACAAAGCGTTGAAGAAGCTTTCAAACATACTATATAAGAACAAATACGACGGAATTATCTCGACCTTGGTAGTATTGTTATGCATCGCTAAGTGGCTATTAAACGGACAATGAGGATTTAGTAATATCAAATAAGTACTTAGTACATATATGTGCGTGTTTTTTTTTGCTTAACATCCATTTTAAACTTTTTTTGTTAACATTAACTTTATAAATATAGTTTATAAAGTTAATGCCTACCACATGTTAATATGTATAATAATAAATTACCCGACAATATAAAATTAGAACAATGTTTAAAAGTAAGTTGACAAAATGGTTACAAAAAAAACTTTATTATAGTATTAAGGAATATATGACAGATGACAAAATAGCTGACTTCAATATTTGCACACCTGCCTGCAGGTAGAATACATGTACTTACTTCTATAAAATGTATCAACCTATGAACTGTATAATAATATTAATAAAATTATTGATTTTTTCTTCCGATAAATACATCCATTCATACACGTGTATTCGTTCGATATATTTGTTCTGCGCTCATTTCCTTGTTTTGTGAACATTGTTAAAAGGCTCTTCTCTTATTACTTAGATATTAAGAAGGAAATTAGTAGAACTAACAAGTAAATTGAAGAACTTTCCAGATCTGCAATAGGTACGATATAAACGGTTATTAATATTTGTATTTAAATAATTTTACTGCTTAAGTGCTTAAATACTTGAACTATGCTTACGTACGCTTACGAAATGCTTGAGCTATTCTAATAAACCACTCCCTAAATATATGGATTTCTATATTGCAACAAATTGGATCCTAAAAACAGAATTACATGCTATCAAACACATAGAAAACAGATAAAGTTCCTTATAATAATTTATTGCATGATATAAAACATTAAATAAAAAACAATCTGTAAGTTTCACCTTACGTCATAAATATCAAATCATAGGGTACAGACAGCCAGGTCAATTTACCCGAAACTGAGAAATTTTAATGACACTGAGCTTTGCAAAGTTAGTTATATGACTTCCTTGGTGCTTTCTAATGCTTCGTTTACGATTCAAACAATCTTTTGAGAAAATTGACAGTTTATATCATGTATGTCCGTACATAAAATAAAATTGTTACCGACAATCCATCAAAGTCAATTCTTTCGTGTGTCGCAACTTCGCGTCGTCATATCGACATGTACTTACATACCTATTTACAAAAGGCAATCTCATATCGAAAGCTAAAGTAATATTTGCATTTGTTTTATAGGCAATGCTTGAGTTGAGAGTTTTCTCGGGATTTGGGTCAAAGTCAAGCTTTGTCTATGACTAAACTAAAAAATAAATATGACTAAACTATTTATTTGTGGCACGATCAACAGTAGCGTTAGACTTCAAAACAGCAGGTCAGAAATACAAAGGAAGATCTTTCTATAAACAAAACAGAGCATGTGTAATTTATACCAAATATGATTTTAGTGATGTTAGTTTAATCTCGTCATTATTTGAAAGTACTACCACATATTTTCTTTCTTATTTGTATCAATAGTTAAACTTTTAATAATCTTTGAATGCTACTTAAACGACGATCCATTTTTAAGCAAAAAAACTTGTTCGGTTTCGATAAGTTACTACCTAATAGATATTTTTTAGTAATCGTAAATTTTAATAGGTACTGACCGAACTTAAGTTTTACAATATTCTTCTCAGTCGACACTTCTAATTATGCCACCATCCGCATTTTTATTCTCAAATTATTATTTAAAATGGATTGAGGAGATCTATAAAAAAACTTCTAGCAACTTTTGAAACTTGCTTCCTTAATTATTTTCCAATAATACCGCAACCCAATTAACTTGCATTCCATATCAATATAGATTCCAACCTTTTACGCAAGACTTGCCACCAAAGAGGCTCGCCAAATTTAACTACATAAACCGACAGTCGGAAACCAATATTGGAACTGGTTGTATGTACAAGGTCCATACGATTGATTGATAGTGCAGATGACCCTACCAGATATTTTTGTTTGCCTATGTCAAGTTCAGTTTAATTGCATTTATCATTATTTTAATTGTCTGTCTTTAGGTACGTGAAATGAGAAGGCCAAATGGGGGCTTTACGTGTGTCGCGTAGAATAGAGCCTTAATTGGCAATTTTAAACTGTTCAATAATGATAAATAACTATGCTGTTGCATTATTTTATTCAAATCGAAACTTTAAATAGTTGTGCTGGACATAGTCGCAAAAATATTTGAGTTATCGTCATAAACTTATAATCTTTGTAGACTCAGCTCACCCTGGTGCAGAGTCGAAGCGACGCATTTTGGCTGTTGCAAATTCACCTGTATTTTTTCATTATTAAGGTACTAACTAGTGGCCCGTCCTCGCTTCGGTTGGGTGTAGAGCTGTAGTGTAGACTTTAGTATTTGATCTCAGGCTTGCATACACAATGGCTTTCTTCATATAATTATAAATTATTTTTGCATATTTAAGGAGCTCGATGGCGCAAGTGGTTAGCGCGTTCGGCTGCGATTGTTGAACTTAAACAACTTTCGCAGTGGTCGGTCATTGGTCACCAATCCGCACTGGGCCCGCGTGGTGGGTCATGGCCCAATCTCCCTATTCCATCCCATCCATAGGGAAGGCCTGTGCCCCCGCACTGGGGACATTAATAGGCTGATGATGATGATAAGGATCCTTTGTATAGAAAAAAGCTCTGCTGTTAAAAAAAAGTGTGTCCCCTTACTGTTAGTCCATGCCCTTATCGGTTCAGTAGTTTCGTAGCCTATTCAATAGAAACAAACAATCAAATCATTCCTCTTTATATGTAAATATTAGTATAAATTCCCAGGGCAAAAAACATATGGGTCGCTGACCTTCCGTCTGGTGCAGGTGCTGTCAGGGCATGGATGTTTTGGAAGCTACTTGCGTCGCATACGGAGGGAAGCAACCCCGTCATGCCATCATTGTGGCGCTGTCGAGGACACGGCGCAGCACACCCTTGAGGAGTGCTCGTCGTGGTCTCGGCAGCGCCATGATATGGTCATGGCAGTGGGAAGGGATCTCTCGTTGCCCAGCGTCGTTAAAGCGATGCTGGACAGCGACAGATCCTGGAACGCGGTCGTCTCCTTCTGTGAGGAAGTCATCCTACAGAAGGAGACAGCGGAGAGGGCCCGCGTGGGGGACGCCCGGGCCGGCCCTCTCCGTCACCGACGACCGGGGGGAAGGCGGCGGCAGTACGACCGCCTCTTTCCACCCTAGTGGGACTGCGGGCGGCGGACAGGGTAGTCCGTCGCTCGCATTGCACAGTCTCATCCGTCGAGGGGGGATGCCTAGGTGCTCCCGGGCATGCCCCTGACCATCAGGAGGAGGAGGAACCTCTGCCGGGGTAACGTGGAGCGTCATCCGGATCCCACAAAACCCGTTCCGGCAGACGAGGGAGCACTGTTGGGTTTTTAGTGGGTAGCCCCCCCCCCCTCATTTGGGGTGAGGAGGAGTCCCACATAACCCCGCCACATACCCAGGGCGGGGTATGCGTAACGCATTTTCCCAACATAAAAAAAAGCGACGCGACGCGACGCTTCGACTCTGCGCCAGTGTGAGTTGAGCCATAAGTTGCTGACTTAGCGCTTAATGTCTCTATTGCGGCTTACATAAATTCATATAAGTACTTCGTTATATTCAAGGGAAAATTTCGATTGTATAAGTAATAAAATTCTACAGACTAAAACTTATTTCTTTGTTTGTTTATCAAAACCTGTTTCTTTGTTGTTATTGTTTATCTAAATCTGCTCGTATCTTTGTCCAGTAGCGAGTGGCATCTGGGTTGGGAGAGGAGTTCCCTCCACGGCGTGAGCTGGTACCACCTGCTACACCCCGACTGCTGTAAGGAGGCCCAGAATAAACATCGCCTCAGTAAGTACTTATATGGGGGTTTAAATAACAAATCTATAGTAATAACTTTTAAAAAGTGGATGTATTTGCATGTTTGTAACGAATAAACTCAAAAACAAATGGAACTTTACTCTCTTTCTCCGAAAAGAAATTTCGGTAACGAACGAATTTGAAACGAAATTTCGCCAGTGACTCTACTCTTTTTCATTTTCGAACTCACAGATAAAGTTCGGAGTCACAAACAAATTTTCGTGAACGAATGGAATGAGACATGTTTGTGAATTCTTTACATCTCCACTTTTTAGATTACGTTTTTTACTTGGAAACAATATTACTTTACGACAAAAATTTTGATAACATAGAAAGAAACTTCTTTGACAGCAATAGCCGACTAATTTGTAGAGTTGAGACAATCGATTGTATATCAACCTATATCTGTCGTTTTATACTTTAAAGTATTGGAAATTCAATAATTAATAAAAAATTGGTTTATTTGTTATTTTTACCTGCTAAAAATGTTCCGCACGCTAAGCAGCCTTGATTAAAAATACTCTAGCAGTCATTTTAGGCTTAATGAAAACAAAAATCCCAAAACGAAAATGTAAAAGGTAACACTTTTCATTTCGTTAATTTGAGGTTAAAATTTCGAACAATTAAGTATCTGTCAAATTAAACTTTTCGTTCGAAATTGTTGTGATTTAGAGAAGGCTTTGGAGAATTTAATTGTCAAACTATTTTTGGACCAATGAATTTTCCTGCGAAATTCTAGTGACATAGGAGATCTATTGGCATATATTTTATCGCATTAAATTAATTTTCCGAATGTAAATTCAGGAGGCCTACTTTATTTCAACGAAAAACGAAATTGTAATCGAAATTTCGCACGTTCCTTACTCTGTTTCCTTTTTATTTTTGGAGTTTACTCCTTAAGAATCGATTTGCATATATAAGGGGCCCGGTATGAGAAAAATGTGAGGAGTAAAATCTATCGATGAATGACATTAATGACCTCGTTACGTTTTTGTGCGCAACCTCATCTGCGCACCTTTCACTTTTAGCCATGGCAACGGATAAAAAATATTAAGTTGTCACAAATGTCCATAAAATAAATAAACTAAAAATAGATAAAATCGGAGCAAAATTAATGAAAACAAATAAATAACAGAATATAGAGAAATGCCGGCAAGTGTCCAGCACTATGGAATAGTGATTTTCAGTACAGATGGAATTATAATACATATTTACAAAATGATGACTAGAGTGTGATATTTCTGAAATTGTGTGTTTCCAGAAATACATAATAAAATATATGATGAATATCGCTGATGTTAGATGACAAAATGTGTGACATGGAAACTATGATAGTCGAAACCATGGGACGATTCCTGAGGTATCTCTACTTGTAACCGACTTCCTCGGACTTGATTTTGTTTTATGTCAGTTCAAAGACAATCGTTTTTAGAGTTTAAACTCCGGTCGTGCGTCGGAGCTTACACACACAATTTTTTTTTATTATTTATTGTAATTTCGATACTTCAAAGTATTAAACGACAAATTTAGGTTGACATACAGTAGATTGTATCAACTCTACAAATTAGTCGGCTAATACTGTCAAAGAAGGTTCTTTTAATGTCATCAAAAAAATTGCCGTAAACTACCTAGGTATATTGTATCCAAGTAAAAAAACGTTACTTTAAAAGTATAGATAAAAAGAACTCACAAACATGACTCATTCCATTCGTTCACGAAAACTGTTTATGGTTCCGAAGTTAATGTGCCTGTTCGAAAATGAAATAGAGTAGAGTCAATGGCGACATTTCTTTTAAAATTCGTTCGTTAGCTAAATTTCGCTTCGGAGAAAGAGAGTAAAGCTACAGGTGCGTCGCTAGTGTCGTATAAAATTCTAAAATTAAATCATGCACCGTCAAAGTTGTAACAAACATTTCCCACGCTGATAAAAATCATTTGCCAACACAACAATTTAAACTTAAAGCGTAAAATTGTTTAACGCCTCAGTCGTAAAACGGTACGCCTGAACATTATGTCGAATATTGCAAAATATCTTCAGAAACAAAACACGCGAAGCGGCTAGATTAAAACATCAACACTTGCGATCATCCTTGATAACCTACCACAATAGCGTTTAGTTTACACACGTTAGAGAAAGTTGCAAGCACGTTGATGCTACGATGCGCGTGACGCTCGTGTGTTAACGCTTTAACTTACTACGTGAGCGATTAAATCGGGAATCGAGAACTCGAGTAACTGTCAAACCATAGACAAACAATTCTAAACTTTATACGATGGCAGTGCGAAATTCTAAATTCGAAATTTCAAATCTCTGCGGCTCGTGACTGCGCGCGACGGGAATTTAGTAGCATGGGCAAATTCAAAATTAGAACACTTTCAAATAAATGCCGGTAAAGCGTGAAGATGCTTCCCAACCAAGTCGGGTCGAGAGACAGGTGACAAGGCGATTGCATGCGTGATACTCACGAAGGAGGATAAAGTTGTGTCGCTGGTTGATTGCTTTTATTTATTTATCACGTTTGGTGTGTTAAGTGCTAGTAAATTAATTGCAGAGCTTAAGCCACTCACATAAATCAATTCTAAATATCCTATATCGTCAATTGATAGACTCGTCTCCTACTTAATACTTGGACATTGAGAATTAAAATACTCGTATAGTAGTTAACTCTCTAAATATATAAATAAACAAATTCATACTTCCATAAATAGTTTTGCAAGTATAAATGGAATAGTGCTTTATATTTTTGTGGTTTTTTTACAATATATACTAAATAACATATACTTATATAATAAAAAACATATGTTTAGAAAATGGCTTTTGCACTTGACTGTGACGGTTAACACAACCATATACATCGATCCAAAAAAAAAATTACATAATATACATACAGTTTTTGATAATTCTACAGACACTTAATATTTATCCGAATCCAAATAAGTTGCAAATAGCAAACATCGGCCACCTAAGAGAAAAAAATAATTTAGATAATAGACAAAGTTGTAGATACTAAAATTGATTACAACATGAATCATTCGTGAAAGATTAGCTAAATTCACTTTAGTATACAACACGTAGATTTCGGCTACTCTAAATCTCCATCGTACACAATTCACACGACATTATTAATTATCACTATTGCATCCGTATCGTTATATCATTCGTTTAACCCGCGCGTAGGCAGAGTTCAGTAAACGCGCCCACAAATCAAACCCACTTGGGCACAGACCATAGACACAAAATAAACAGTACAGAAAGTTATCTACATACAAAGTGCGCACGAGCAATGTACACAATATAGACACCACTCGGACCAGTTGAGACCACTCTGCGAGCGCGAGAATCATCCGCTTGAGACACGCGTCTAGAGTCTGGTGTAACAAATAAAAGTTATTATCCCTGTTTAGTAGACGGTTACTAAACACAACATTAAACTGTGAATTGTCGTTTTTCTTTAATTAAAAAAAAAACAAAATTCAATATCGTTTATTCAGTCTAAGCTGTTACAAGCACTTATGAATGTCGGAAAGCTACGCCATCGGTTCGAAAATCTACGGCGAGAGACCTTGCACTGAGAAGAACCGGCAAGAAACTCATATTTGTAATATAATGATAACATTAAAATTTTAATATTTTAGTTATTATTGGTTTATTTTTCCGTTCTTACTATTTCATTCTCGGTGATACATCAAACAGGTAGGTATTCAAAGTGAAGTACATACATGATTCGCACCCGCCAATCCGCACTGGGCCCGCGTGGTGGGTCACGGCCCAATCTCCCTATTCCATCCATAGACGACCTCCGTGGTCGAGTGGTTTGTACGCCGGGTTTCATGGTGTCAACAACTCGAGAGGACCCGAGTTCGAATCCCGGTGGGGGCAGATGTTTGTGTGATGAATACGAGCATTTGTACTCCAGTCATGGATGTTTAATATGTATTTCTATATAAATATAGTTATATATGTACTGTATATGTATTCTATCCGTTACCCTAATATCCCATAACACAAGCCTTACTGTGCTTACTTTGGGGCTAGGCTAATTGGTGTGAGTGTTGGAAATATTTATTTATTTATAGGGAAGGCCTGCGCCCCAGCAGTGGGGACATTAATAGGCTGATGATGATGACATACATGATTACCTTCTGTACTCTCTATTTTGTGCCATAGACTTTACATCCTATATCTTCAGCACAGACACACAAAATTGCCGCTCAAAGATAAACACTCGGGTTGTTATACCCTGACCACAATCACAGCCGTCGTCAATCTGCCGTAGGTACCGACTCTAAAACCAACAGTCGACTACGAAATTGCACAAATAATCGGCTGACATTAACCCCCATTACTAGACTCGACGATGCATCGAGTCAAGTCGAAATACCGATACGGCAGCTTTTTTTTCCTTTTTATCGAATTTATGTAATGTTTACTGTGCCTGTTCTAGAAATAAATGATAAAATTCAAGACTAGGTACTCAGTATACTAAGTATTTAATAATTTTACATTTGTTAACACCTATTTCATTTTGAAAATAGAATAGTCAACAGTCAACAGGAAATCAAATAAACTTCATTTCTCCGTAATCACTATCGTTTTTAAATATTTATCCCAAAGAAACATCAAGAGCGCGTCCTATTAACAATAGGTCAAATCGGTGAGACCAAGTGCCTTTAATCGAAATACAAATACGGGAGAAACCTTATTTTTTCAATTACTTCATGAAAACTGTGTACTTAAGTTGACCTGTTCGTCGATAAACTTGCTCAGGAAAGTAAGCTGCTGGCGCATTCTGCGTTTTTCATTAACTCCCAGTCATGCGTGGGATTCTATTTAATTTATTAGGTTCTAAAGAAGAACAATTTTCTTTATGCGTATCGTTATAAACCATGTGGGCCACAGGAACTTTACTCACTATCAGAAACACAACACCACCAAAAAGAAACTACATATTATTTTAGTGTGGGGTTCTAGTACCCGTTGGACCCTCAAG